CAATGATTATAATAATTTCTACTGTTATATATTTTAAACCCATAATATTTTTTACTTAACTTTCCTTCTCTTATGATCTTCCATATGCTCAAGCAATTGGTGCCTGGCCCAAAAAAATATTTTACATATCGAGCAAAAATGAGTTTTCATTTTTCCGCACACAAAATTCCTATGGCTGTTCAAAGATTGATTTCGCACAAAAGATTTTCCACATTCGCAAACATAATTTTTCTTTTTTGCAGTTTTCTTTTCTTTTTTATCAATTGGTATGGTCGTTAGAGTTAAAGCTGTTAAGGGTAGCATTGATGAGGTTGCATCTGAAAATAAGTTTATTTTTATTGTTTTAATATATATTTATATAATTCTACAATTTTGTAACATAACAATTATTTTTATTTAATTTATATGTGACGCACTCTGAAGAGATTTTGCAGCAGAAGCAAAGGAAGCTATTCAAAAAGAATATAAACCAATCAAAGCCTAAAAATGGAAACTTCTTCAGAATGCGCCACATAAAAAGCCTTAGGATATGGAAAAATAAAACAAAATTAGTACAATGTAGAATATATAATACAGAACATAAATTATTAGATAACGATATCTGAACAACATTGAAAATAGACTGACTGGCCATCAAAACATCAAACATTTTGAATTATTCATTATCACAACCTTTATGAATTTTTTTCAAATGTAGGATAAGTCCATAATTTCGCGTATAAGATGCGTTACAATGTTCATAAGGACATTTTATTTTATTTTTTCCGCAATCCTGATGTTTATGTACTCTTAAACACTCTGCGTTTTTATAATATTTTCCACATTCTAAACATTGAACTTTAAATGAATCTAAAACCAAAGCTTGTGTTAAAATTTTAAATCAAAAAATGTATTAAAATCATTTAAATTAAATGAAATATACAGTATTAAACAGTGCCGTGCTGAGTACATCCGAAAGCCGAAGAGAGTGGGGATATTTGGCATTGCTAAGCATTTGTAAGCAAATAAGTTAAAACAAAATACATTTGCTGTTTATTTATTATTTTTCCTAAATTTTTTATATAAAGTTAAATTATCTCAAATCTAAATGTTTGAGATCTACAACTTTTATATTAAGCATATTTTTGTTAAAAATATTCTTACCATTCCTGAAATCAATTAAACACAAGAACGTTGGAAACATTTAATAGGCAGTTGCAAAATGGAGAACAACGATGAGGATTTTATTGTTGTGCTTCAATATTAATATTGTGAACTTATTTGCTTTTGAAGAAAAAACTCAAACAACTTAAGCTTTTAAAAAATTATCTTAACTGTTTTTCTCGAGGTTTTTCTCAACTTTACTATTGTTACAATACATTTTTCGCTATTTATTTCGGGTGGGGTTATAACCCTCAAAAGGCCCTGTGTTAAAACCCAAACCAATTTAAACTAAACCATTTAATATAAAATGCCAACAGAATATTGGCCCCATACACTGTTATAAAATTAATATTTGTTAACATGTTTGTAGTTAGTTAATTTTATTTTGTAAAATTTTTGCAAAATTTTTTGTATACAACCTGGGTTTGTCATTATTTATTGTTAAGGTAAAATGCAATTTTGTAATCATTTTGTTAGTTTCAAAGGTTACAGATTATTTTGTTAATGTTTAACAAATTATTCTGTTAAAAAAGTACACGTGTTTTCAGGCAGCCAATCAAAACATTTCCAAGCACACCACACTTATCAACAAGTTGTGTCAGCGTCAACGGGTGTTTATAATATTTAACGGTGACAGGAGTGTTTATAATGTCATTATTGGTTATATTATACCAAATTTTTATATAATCTGATGTCTTCAGAATGGGTATTTAATTTTGTGTATGTTATTTTTGTGTTCATTTATGTAGGTATGTGTTAATTATGTTTTATTTAAAAAATTGTTTAATAACGCAACAATTCTTATAAATAATTCTCTTTTTTAAAGTTCCCAATTTACAACAAATACTTTTGATACTGGGTCTACATAAAAGTTTGTAAAAAATACAAGAATTATGGTTGAAATTGACATGGAATTTTGTTATTAAATCTACAAAATATCTGTAATAATTACAAACTACTTATTCAATTAGTTAACAGATTACAGTTGGTTGTAAACTTAACAAAAAGTTATGTGGACTTGGATTAACATAAAATCTGGTTATTATTTGGTTAAATTTAACAAATATTTTTTTACTGTGTAGTTTATAGCTGATTTCGTGAACCCAGACGAACGCAAATGTTTTAGTGCCATGCACACTATTCGCCGAACATTTGACGTTCGTCTAGTTCGCCCGATAATGTGGAGCCGGCTTAGTGCTCGTTTCAATCGGTTTAGTGTGCAAGTAGTAGCATTTGCTCATTTTCATAATTTTACTTTTTTTAATACATTTATTTATTGTGAAATATGAAAAATTCTAACGCCCATAATAGTTAATCCAATGCTCAAAGTACAAATTAATGTGCACTTAAATCCCTTTAGAAGAAAAAATTGTGTTAAGGTTCATAAAAAAACTCTTCTGATTTTATAATTAAAAAAATGATTTTATTATTAAAAAAATGTTTGCTATTTACATAAATGTTTGATGTTTCCTGAACGTGTGCGATTTTAAATGTTCCAGTCTTCTAAATGGCATACGACAAATATTGCAAATAAATGTTTTTCCCTTGCCACAATCCCTTGACATATGGCTAGATAAGGAACTTTTACTCTTATAGTATTTACCACACATTGGACAGGAAACTTTATCTGAAATATTTTGAATCAATTACAACACATTTTATTAAATTGAATAGTTGAATATCTATAGTAAAGTAAAATGTAGGGAGCATTTAGCCAATTTAGAATAGAATAAAACACAACTTTTTTAAATACCTCTTACCTACCGGAAATACGGTATTTTTAATTAGTCACGAGCATAACGAGTATTTAATTTATCAGACGGTTCTAACCTCACTTTCTAAAGAATATTATTATTTTGAAGATTGTATGACCTTTAACAGATTGTATGACATTTATCGGACCCTGCATTGATAATTATATTGACCTAGGACGTTAAGCCTAACAGTACAGTTTGTAGGTTTGTACGTTTGCGTCTGTAATTTAGTGAAGAAGTGCAGTTCGTGTATCTACTTAATACATAAAAATTAGAATGTTCACATTTATACATTAAATGAACAAGGCCATGAGTTCGAACATATTAAAGTAATTCAATTTTAAAATGAAGAGTTAATAGACGTTAATAGATGTTTGCGAAAGTAATTGTAAAGTATTTTATTATATTTTATCAGAAAAGCTAAGCAAATTACCAGAATAGTTTGCATTTGAATATTTTTTATGATCTACTTTATACAGGGTGTCCCATAATTAGCGTGCAATACTTTAACAGCAGATTCTACGTACAAAAATAAGAAAGTTTCTATAAAAATATGTCGAAAAATTTTTCCTAAGGGAGCTACAGTCCCCAAAAGAGGAGCCCCTGAAGATGGTGTTTATTTAATATCTCCAAAACCGTTAGATAGAAAAGTGAAATTTTGGGATATAATCTAACTTTTTATGGCCAATAAGTTGGAATAATAACAAATTCTAAATTTTCATAAGGGGTGGGTCAGATATATAGGGATTGGGGGTAAAACTACCCTACCTTTTTTGTACGTATCTTGTGCTATGATTTGATATTAGATCATAAAATTTCACACATTTTACACATAAAAAAAGGTCCTCCTGATGAACCGTTTTTGCTTAAAATCGATTTAAAAATTACCTTTCAAAGCATAAAAATTCATAATAAAATCACAACTAGAAAAAAACTTCAGCGTAGGTCATGGACAATTTTTAAACATGGCCATGGACAATTTTTAAACACCCTGTCACATATTACATGAAACTGTTACCTGTAAATAATTTTTTCTAAAGATGGCAGCTGTGTTCCATGGCCTACGCTGATTTTTCTCTTGTGAATTCATTATAATCTTTTATGCTATGTAAGGTAATTTTTAAATCGATTTTAATCGAAAACAGTGGATAATATCAAAGTTAACAAGACGACCTTTTTTGTGTGTAAAACTCTGAAATTTCATAATTTGACATCAAATCCTAGAACTAGACAGGTACAAAAAAGTTAGGGTGGTTTTAACCCCTACTCCCTAATATTACATCTTATTGGCCATAAAAAGTTTGATTAATTCCCAAAATTTTACTTTTCTATCTTGAACGGTTTTGGATATATTAAATAAAAACCATCTTCAGGGGCTCCTCTTTCAGGAGCTGTAGCTCCCTTAGGAAGCATTTCTCAGCCCATGTTTATAGGAACTTTTTTTTATTTTTGTAAGTAAAATCTGCTGTTAAAGTATTGCGCGCTAATTATGGGATACCCTGTATATGGTGTTATGTTTAAAATATTACCACGCTGCTATTAGCTATTTTACACACAGACCACCTGTCTGTGATTTCACACAAAAGTTGTCCCAGTTTAGTGAACAAAATAAAACCCTTTTATTATATAATTATATTGATTCTTAAGGTAAATTAGTCTGCTGCAAGTATATTTTAAATGCAAATAAGTTTTAATACATAAATTTAAAGTTGCCTTGAAAAACTTTTTAAGAATATAAATAAAACTAAATGTTTTTAATATAGATTTAAAATTTTGTCTTTAAGATCCTTTCAGGATGGGTCCTTTTTGTCTAGAAGCTGCTTTATGATGGTCCTAAGGTTGTCTTGAAGATCGTTTGGTTTTATTCAATGTTTTATTGGGTAGTTTTAAAGCGACCTTGCGCAATAAGAGCATTAGTGTTACTTGGGAAGCTTGAATGCTTTTAGTTTTGGTATAAAAAATCGTATATTTTGTTTATTCAGCAATTTCAAATTCAGTAATTTTTGGTTTGGCGATGTTTTGACACCTTCATACTTGCCAAACTAAACAAGTTTTTCTTAAAGAATGTCGGAGTTGCATGCAAGGCTCATTAAAACTATAAAATATAATGCATGTATATTTAAAATTTCCACAAACTTAAAGTTATTTCTAAAAACTAGAGATTTAATTTGCCTTGGCTCTTTTTTGGCGGCCACCACCTCTGTCAAAAGCACCCCTCAACCAAGTCTTAATGGTATTTTCAATTTCAACCACAGTGGATTCCTTATATTTGAGCCTTACAGTTTCTGTAAAAAGACATTTATTTATAAAAGGAAACTATTAGTGTGTTTAATACATACCAACAATTAAGTTATTTAAATTTTTATGAGATGAAAAATTATGTTTTCCCAATTTTCCAGTCCAGTTACATTGTAACTGTAATCGATGAGCCAGCAGCCTTTTCATTACATTTCTTATTGTTTCATTTAAACTGTTTCCTCCGATTAAGCTTAAATTTATTAACTAAAACAATAAAACTTAAATAAAACATTTGTATTTTTTTTTTAATTTTACCATGGTTTTAAAATACCCCTTATTATTAAGTTTTAAATCGAATTCCTTAAGATCATCAGTGGTATTCATTATTTTAATTTCTGACTGTAGTGTTTTTTCTGGTTGGTAAATTTCATTATTAAGGCTTTTTTGACCCAATAAAATTGCCATATTTGTTTCCAGTGCCAACAACTTGGCCAGAATTTTTTGAGGCAAATCTAAAAAATAACAAATAAATAAGTTTTTCCTGTATAGTAAAGAAAAACTTGTCCTGTTTATCGGTTGTCCTGTAGTTTTATTCTCTTGTTACTTATATCAATAAAAAAACTTGTTAATTTTAAAACTTTATTAAAAAAGAATACATGCAATAACCTAAAACTAGGTAATCGTTAAAATAATACTATCGGGGTCTTACATTAACTAACAACAAGTAAAGTAATACCTATTTCTAAAAGATCAAATCAGTCTTTATGATTTCGTTATTTTTTTGGTATAAAGATAATATAAAAAATGACAGCCTCCAAAATACTGGTAACAATACAAATTGTACTTTGTTTAATAAATAGGCACTTATGGTTTGTACTAATACTTAAAAATACTTACTTAAATTAAATAAATAAGAAAAGTTGTAGATCGTACACTACTTAGGTTAGCAAGTTAACCTTACTAAACCTTATTATAAATTATATCCTAGTAAAAAATGAATTAAACAAAGAAAATAAATAAATTACATTAAGGTTATGTTAATCTCAGGTTCAGTAAGTATACCTCCGGACCTCTTTTTGATGCCGATATGTTTTCCCTTGATATGAACATTTAAATCGTACTTGTGTTTAAATTTCCTGGGGCATAAATCACATGTATATTTTGGTTCCTTTCCGCATTCGAACTTCATGTGCCTGGTTAAAGAATGTTTCAAACGGTAGCTCTTCGTGCATTTGTTACACATAAAAATTGTGCTCAAGTCAGTGTTTTCGATGCTCATAAAACTTTTGCGTTTTTTCAGGGGAATATTTTCTTTGTTTTCCTTTAAATCTAAAATATTTTTGTTTATTAATACATTTTTAACACAGTAACAATTAACTACACAACACTACAATACACTAACCACAACTACGATAACTAACTACAAAAAAACACACGTGTTTTTTTAAATCACATTTATTTTTTATGTTGTTTTAAACCTAAAATATAAAAATAAATATTAAAGCACAAAATCAGTGAACCTTCACACAAGTTTAAAACAAAACTAAACACTGTTTACAAACTATAGTACAGCAGGTAAATTTTGCAGGTTTACATGTAGCTACCTGAAGATATAGTAATTGTAATAAAATCAATTGTATTTGTGATAAATTTTACATCTCAAAAGGATTAAATTAAAAGTTTCAAACTAAGGTGCGTTTTACGAAATATTATTATTATGCATAAATCACACTCTATGTAAGTTCTAAACTATAATTTGCCTATATACATGTATTGAAACAAAATCTATAGATTTCGTTTTAATACATGTATGTATTCGTCAAAAGTTATAAATTCTATAAAAAAACTTAACCATGTATAAAGTACCTAGTGATTAATACAAATGTATTATAAAGCAACTTTTAAGTGTATTTTCAACATTTGTTTTCATGTTTATAATTCAGTTTAATAGTTCAAAAATTGCAGTAAGCACATACAGAGCTGCCAAACCATAAAAAATGTAATTTTAAGAACTTCATAGTAAAATACGCTGTTAATAATTTCGTAACAAGTACAAATGTTTGAACTGTCAACGAAAGTGGTTATGTTTGTGTTTTTGGGAAGACCGCATACTTTTTTACCTAAAAAGACAAAGAGGGCATTAAGAATGGCTAATTGTGTCCTCTTGCAAAAGCTACCCTCTCAATTACTCCTCGTTCTTGGAATATTTTCTTGTAATATTCACACTTAAATCAAAATAAGGAATATATGCAAAGGAAAAATAAATTCAGAAGGTAAATATTTTTTTTATTTTATAATAAGTACATACCTATACGTAATATACATCTTATGCTTGATAAGGATATGTATATTTACATACTATGTAAACTATACTGCCTAATACTACATCTAGATAATATTCATAGACTATATAATATAGGGTGTTCCTAATGATGCAAAATTATAATTGGTATTTCCAGAACCGATTTTAAACAGAAAATTTAATATAAACATACGTTTATTTTTAGAAAATATTATAAATATCTTAATATTTATAATTTTTTAAATATAACTTTTGCATTTTTTTATAGAATTTAATTTATTCTGTAAAAATATTGTGCTTTTTTGTACTAGGCTTCATGTTTTTTAAACTTTTTGATTAAATTTTCATGTGAATTTTTAAAAAGGGTGGCCCCAAAACTCTGTATTAATGTTGTAATAAAATGTTGAACACTATTATTTTTTATATATTTTTTGTATAGAGAAATATGAAAACAATTTTATATAAAATTAAATCAAGATTTGTAAATTTTATATAAAAAACTGATAAAACCTCAAAAAAATTATTTGTTTTGGGACGTATTTTCGTATGAAATTTTCTTCTTAAAATAACTTGATTATTAAATTTAGGAATACCGTATATGCTTATTAAATAAAACATTTATAAGGATAAAATTTTTCCATAAGCTCTATTTTTAAATCTAATTAAAAAGATTTTACTTTTTAAGATGTTATTTTAATATATCCTATAGGTAAGGGGTAATAATTATAATTATTAATATTAAATAAAACAAAGTAATATGCTATAAAATTGCAAATGAAAGTATGAAATAAGCAGTACCTATAAACCTATTAACTATAAACCAAAATAACTATACTTCCAAGTTATTCTTAATATTTTTAAGTCCAATTTAACAATAATATTAACGAGGGTCTATTTCAATGATATGGATCTAAAAAACATACTTCCTCTAAGGGGTCATCCATAAAGTATGTTACCCCTGTTTTTGGATATTTCAGACCCCCTCATCTGCCTAATAACATTCTTTTTCTTGCCCCCTTAACATTCTTTATGGACGACCCAAGATAATACAAATATTTGGACTTTTAAAACTTATGTTAATTTAAACTACATATTACATTTTCTTGTGGGTAGTTTTGATATGAGCTTCAAGCTCCTTTAAATTATAGTCAGTGTAGCTGCAGCTGGTGCAGCCATATTTAGTTTTGGTCACCTTTGCCTTACAATTAGGAACATGGTTTAAATATTTCTCTCTCTCAAAAAGTACATTGCAATTGACACAGCGTAAAGTATCCACAGGTTTCTTTAACTCCTTTAAATCCATCTGACACTTTAAAACTTTTTGTGTTTGTTTCGGCAAATCGGATAGTTTCATGTTTAAAAATCTTTTCTTGCGTTCGAAACCAACACCAGATTTTTTTCGACCTTTTTTGATTACTTCGGTCTCACCAGAATGTTTTGCTTTGAAGAGGGTTATATCTTTGCCTGAGCATTTTTCGATTTTTGAAAACGAAACATGGCTGCTTAACTCCTTTTTGATGCGATCGACAAATTCGTCGGATTTGAGATCCTCCACTCGCAAAATTTTTATCATACCCTTTTTGGACTCCTTTTCCACCACTAAAAAATACTACAATTAGTAATTCTACAAAATAAAGCACTTAAAATAATTAGTAGTTTAGTAGTTTTTTAGTAGACATATAATGCATAAATAATACAAATTTTAAATTTAAAACAATTTATTTCTACCTCGACGTAAAATCAGTTTGTATACAATTAAAATCTTTTAGTTGGTATATGTTACGATGCCTTCTCTTCATGTGAGTAGTTAAATGCGTTTTTTGAACTCCAGCATAGTTACAAAACGAACATGTAAACCTTTTTATTTTTTGACACTCGTATTTCTTGTGTCTTAATAGGTTTGGTTTATGAGTGTATATTTTGCCACAAGTTTCACACCCATATACTTTTTTTCCTAAAATTTAAACAATAGTGGGTATGGTAAGTTTATATAAAGGGATAAACGATTTACCATAACTTACCAATTTATAAACAAAAATTAAAATATTGTAATTTAAACAAATTTCCTACTTTTTTAATAATTTTTATTTAACCAAACTACCGCTACCATAAGCATTGTATATAAATTTAACGATAAAAATAGGAATATTTTTTTAGTTATGGGAACATTTGTATATAATTTAAAAAATCAACGTGTGATGTACAGGAACTGGTTCTATTACAAACTATTAAAATAATGATAAAAATCACAATAAGAACGATTGGCAATGTGAAGTGTACTCTCTAAAAGTGAAACAGTGAAATTTTCACTATTTCCGTCAGTGAATTATTATTCACTGTAAAATTAGTGTTTTTCAATATAAATTAGTGAAATTTTAACTTCTTCAAATTAGTGTTTTTTATTATCACTACTTTTCCGAAACTCTCGATATAAAATAGTGAAATTTTAACTTTTTTGAACTAAACCTATTTCACTAATTTGTACAGTAAAGAAATCGCTACATGAAAAAGTGAGTATTCACTAATTGCTAGTGGTATACTTATCACTGCGGCAAATAGTTAATATGCACTGTCAATCAGTGAAAATCCACTGTTTCATTCTTAGAGAGTATGTATAACCTCAAGTAAATAATATAAACTATTTATATAACTATAAACAAATTATTAAGTAATAAAGCAATAACTAAACTAAATATATATAATATTATAAAGCATTTTTTTAATTCTTTTTTGATACAAGAATAATTTTTTTGTTTTTAACTTCTCCTAATTTACTAAATAATTGAGTATGTGAAAATAATTTGAATATATATGTATGTATTTAAAGTAAAAATAAAAAAAATTTAAACCACCTATCCACATTTTTTTATATTTTTGAAATGCCAAATACCATGTTTTTTAGATTAATTATATTGAATGAATAAAATATGTTTAGCTTAAATTGTAAGCTTACTCCAAAACCGTCATTTTTATATTTTTAAATTAAAATAGGTAACATTAATATACAGGGATCAGAAAATTCGATCACAGATAAAATATGTTAAGTCAACCAGGGCAGGGGCGGATAAATAGGGGGGCGATGCGAGGGGTTAACCACTGTTTTTTTTAATTAAAAATCGCATACGAATGAAAGGCTAAGGAACAAAATCATAAGGATAGCCATAAGCAATGTATCGCCAAAAGAAATTTCTTATCAATAAGGATGGGATTTTTATCAATAAAGGCCGATTCTCATTAGACGTGCACTCTCTTAAAATGAATTAGTTATTTTTGACTAATTGTCATAGCGAAAAAGCAGTCACTAAAAATTAGTCAAATTCTACTAAATGAAATAGTCAAATTAGTAGATTTAAATTTAAAAAAGTTTTGACCCAGCCGGGGATTGAACTTAGGTCTGCCACTTGTCAAGCTTGTCAAGCTGTTCTCATAACCAATGTGGCTGTCACTCTTATAAAAATCAATTTTATTTGTCAATAAATATTGTTCATAATATTTTAAAGTTGAATATATTATTTGTGTTGCTGTTTTGAGCTAAACTTTTTACATGTTTGTTTGTTTTTATGGGACATTTAACCATGGAGTCTATATGCATTTAATTCAATTAATTTTTTGTTGTTGGCCGCAAACGATTAAAGAAATTTAGTAACTTTTAACTCTCAGAAATAGTCAAAGATGGTGACTAATCTTAAATTAGTCAAACTTGAACTATTTACGTAGTAAAAAATAACTATAGTTAAATAGTTCAAGTTTGACCTATAGGTATTTAAAAGTGAAAACGACTATTTTTTTAGTAAAAAATGCAGGTACTAATTCAAATAGTAAAATTTTGACTATTTCATTTTAAGAGAGCAAGGAACCGGATCGGAAACGGCAGGGAAATTCTTGCACAGACTCGGCAGTCAATCTGCAATAGAGTTTTATGCACTTAAAAACGTCTTTTTCTTTTCTAAACATTTTTTTACATTTTCTTGCTCTCCATTAGGGTGCTTCATTTTAGCGCGACATTTTTTTCTTCAAAGTCCCATCTGAAAATCTTGTAACCGGTCAGAAAACAAAAATTTTGAGCTATTACAAAGCTCTTAATCTTTATTTTACGCCGTTGCTATTCAATTTTACAAAGTTAAATATGTTCTTTCGAAAATCTTCTAAAATAGCAGTAAATCGTATTTGCAGACTAGTAGTATTGATTGTAGATAAAAAACGTAAATGACAATTTTGTAGGGAATATTGTGCCCTACAAATTTGTTAAGAAATATTTTTCTGTATCATTTATTGTTTAGCTTGTACAGCCACTCTTTCACGTAACTCTGATAGTATAGTTATTACAGTCAGAAACTGAATTTTTAAGAATTTGACACTTTGAGTGGCTGTACAAGCTAAACTATAAGTAATACAGAAATATATTTCTTAACAAATTTGTAGGGCACAAAAGTACCTAGAAAATGGTAATTTACGTTTTTAATCTACAATCAACAGTTTAGTCTCCAAATACGATTTACTGCTTTTTAGAAGATTTTCGATTAGAGCGGCAATTTGTGAAGAACATATTCAAATTACACACTTGCTTAGATAGACATTTTTGAGGATAATTTAATCCTGTATAAAGATTATAGAACCAAAATTCGAAAAAAAATATTCTTACTGTACGAGCGGAAGGAGAGAGAAGTTTTAATGGTTTTTAAAGGGAAATATTTAAAACTTGAATAGCAACGGCTTAAAATAAAGATTATTTTTGTTTTCTGACCGGTTACAAGATTTTTGGGTGGGACTGAGAAAAAAAAATTTAGCTCTAAAATGAAGCACCCTACTCTCTATATTAAAGAAATTTTTATTAACATGAAAGTCGAGAACATCACTTTTTACAGAGCACCTGCGGCAAGCATGTTCCCACAGAAAATGTTGCCCTTGTCAAGCATGTGCCTTGCCGTTGCCGATCCGATTTCTTGCACGTCTAATGAGAATTGGCCCTAAGCGTCGAATAAGGAAAAATCACGTCCATATTACTCTGACTGTTCTCTCGCTGATTTTAGAGTGAATTTTTGTTTACCTATTCCAAATTCATTAATTATATAACGTACTTATATGTAAGTGCCACTCGAGCTTTGAATAAAACTCAAAAAGAAATTTAATAAATTTCTACTAAAATTTTATGTTGAATAAATCTCGTTAATATAGCAAATGGCTTAATATGGTGTACGTGACGAAAATGACTTGGCAGTGACCTGCAAAAAAGGTCCCTCGTCAAATTTACTATGTAATAGTGAACCAGAGATCTATTTTTACTGCACGGATAAAAAGGATTTCTTAGATATAGAATTTTATTTTTCTTTAAAATATTTATTTGAATAGAGTTAATTTGATTTGATTTAAGACGAATGTTTTGTTACAAGAATGTTTAAATAGTAAATATATTTCTTGAAAAAAACTCTTGGTTCAAGAATTTTTCTTCATTGAAGAAACGCATTGCGTTAATTCAAGTAAAATATTTCTTATTTTCTAAAAATTACCCTTTTCTTGGGACAAGAGAATCAGGGCTTGTAAATTTTACTTGAAGAATATTAAAATTTATTGTTCTTGTATTAAGAAAATCTGATTCGTTTCAAGAATAATTATTAGATAATTTCTTGTATTTACGAGCTGTCCGTTGGGGAGGGGATAAACTTGTTTCATACGTCCTACACCCTCATTTGAAAAGTAACCGTGCTTATGTTTACTTAAATGTTTAAAAATTAGTGATTATTCGAACGATTACAGTGCCGTAGACATTAGGTCATTATTGACTGAATGGAATACTCCAGAAAGTAGGGGTAAACCATTTTTTAACTTTTTTGACACCATGTATATTTTTATTTTTATTTATTTGTAAATAAATCTTTGTGTCAAAAAAGTTCAAAATTGTTTACCCCCCTCTTCTTCTTAAAAATCCCGAATGTAGCTTAAATATTAACTATACTGAAGAAAATTTCAAATACTTGTTTGAAGAAGTACTCGTCTTAAATGAAATATATATTATCTTTAACCAAGAATACATTTTATTAACGCAAGACACAAAATCTTTCTATAGAGAAAACAACGGTTTCATTGAAGAATTCCTTTAATTAATGCAAAGAATAATGCCTTGAATGAAGAATAATTACTACTGCACCAAAACTCAATTATTTTTGATTTTTTTTCCTCAAGTAATTTTATTTTTTATTCTAGAATATTTATTCTCGACCCAAAATGCGACAATTTTAATAACAAGAGTTTTTATCATTCGTTTAAGACTGCTTATGTTCTTAAAAAGGAGAAAATATATTCTCCGAGGAAAACATGTAACACAAGAATAATTTTTACTGCTGGTAAGAAAATATTGTTTCGAAGAGATAGGAATCATTTACGTAGTATCTTGAATGAAGTTAATTTAACTTGGCTGAAGAAATCCTTTTTTACCATGGTAATTGGCCAGAGTTTCGTAACGAAACCAGATATCCCTAGGGTTATTAATAAAATTAAGACCATTTAAAAAAATTTATTATGACGACTATATGCACTCCAGTAAGAGTCACGTGGAGCTAGCGGTGATTATTGTATGACTTTTAGAGTTTAACGTGTTTAACGTGTGACACACGTTGTTAAAAATAGATTTCTTATAAAAAAAATTTGGCTATCGCCTTCCCCAAACAAAAATTCTGTATCCGCCCCTGAACCAGGGAATTTATGATATTAGGTTGTACACGTATTTCCCGAAATACTGTAGAAGGAAAAATTAAATTAAATTTTATTGTTGACATCTGTGAGTATAGAAGTTTAATTTGATTTAGATTGATAAACCTAATTAATGTCGTTTTAAATCACAATGAATATTACTTAAAACAAAGAGGAAAAAATTTTTCCTAGAGTATACATGTGGGATTAATTATAATTTTTTATTAGATAAAGCAATTTATAAATATTGATCCTTTAATACCTCTGAATATTGCAAAAAGCATTTTTTTGTTTTTTCTTTAAATTTTTTCATTATCACAAATAACCTTAATATTAAATGGTGATTGTATAGAAATGTATACTGTTGTATAAACAGCTCTTTAGGAACGTTTTGTTATATCTGAGAATATCGTGATGCTTCACAGTCTTTTATTAGGAATAGTTCAATTATTGTCTGGTTCGGTAAAAAATCTATTTTATCACATATACAGAAACCTATTAACGATTTTAAATTAAAAACAAACAAAATATCTATAATTAATATCACTGGTTGTGTAGGTTTCTGAGCAGTATTTGTGGCAGTAACAGTAATGAAAAAAGACTTTAAAAATAAAGCCTTTTATAAAAAAAATCGTGAGTATTGTATTTGTTCGCAGAGCTTTAACATTATTTACATTATTAATAAATGTATAAATACTATAATAATAACACTTGAAACCGGAATCACTTTTAATAAAATTTTACTCCTACCTAAAATAGAATCTAATTTATACAAATCTAATAATTTTTTGAAAATTCACAGCTCTGAAAAAAGGCACAGAGTATTTTGGAATGTAAATTGTCCCGTAAAATTGATTTATTTATTCATTTTCAGCGCCAGCTTCTGGCGTAACAATATCGGACGATTCCGACTTGGCAGCAAATTCATTTTCGTTTTTAATTTCTGTCTTATCATTAATATCCCTATGCATTCGCTCCATATGCCTGGCCATATGCATTTTTTGTTTTGCTTTATAAGAACAATACTTGCATTTAAACTGCGGCTCTTTTCCACATTCCCACTTCTGGTGGTTACGCAGGGAACTTTTTAACTTGTAAACTCTTCCGCAATTGGGACAAGCAAAACTTCCCTCTAAGTTCTGGGATTTGTTTCTAACTTTTTGGCCGGGTGAGTTAAGACTTAAATCTAACGAAGTGTTTAACATGGAATTTTTCATATTTTCTCTCATTAACATCATTGGTAGTACAAGATGAGAAGGCCAACGCTCCCAAGGTCTAGTCACCCGCAAATCTTGAGCTGAAAAAGAAAACAATGTAAGTACAAAATAAATAAAACAATTAAAAAATGTAATGTATGTACAAACGTAAAGTAAAAAAAAAATAAACATAAAGTAAGTAAACGTAATTTATTAAGCTTTGATAATAAAAATAATAATACAAAAGCGTTAAACGTGTGATGTCAGGAAAAAATACAGCTCAAAATAAATATAAGGCTAATATAAATAATACATGTATCCTACAAATAAACTCACAAATCAATGATTTATAATCAAATTAATAAAGAACATACAAAAATACTGTTATTTAAAAAAGAAACAAACAAAAAGTTTATAAAATCTGCACCATTATGTAAGGTAAAGCTGTTGGGTTACTGAACTGTAATGTGTAAATTCAATAGAAAAAAATTATGTTTCCTAACAAATATTAATGTATCCTCCATAATTTACTTTAGGATTGTAAATAATAACTACGAGTTTTAGGTAATGTTTCCTACACATCAAGTTGTGTTTCTTAATATTTGCTATTTACATTCGATTAAAAGTTATATATTAGAGCACGACATTTTCCACAGCACACCCAAGTGCCCCTTGAGGGGTGTTTCTTGAAATTTACAAATTTTCTTTATATCTATATTAGGGTGGCCCAAAAAAAAGAATATTTTTTTTCTCGTCTCTTGTAAAAAAATGTTGGTTTGTCATGTTTTAAGAGCCCTGTCAAAAGATCAGCTCCATTAAAAAATTTCTAGGGGTCGCTCAAGATTTTTAAAAATTTCCAAAATCGTCAAAAATTGGATTTTTTTTATTTTAATTTTTTTTCTCGTTCCGATGTTATTTTTTAATTTAGAAATAATAATGATTCTGAAAATTTCAAATCGATATTTTGATTTCTAAAGGTCGCTAAAGATTTTTTTAACTTTCAAAGTAGAGAATTTTCAATGTTTTCAAGCGACCTCTGAATATAGATATCAACGAACTTTTAGCGACCTTTAGAAATCAAAATATTGATTTGAAATTTTCAGAAATTTTGATTTTTTAAAAAATCTTGAGCGACCCCTAAAAATTTTTTAATTGAGCTGATATTTTGACAGGGCTCTTACAGCATGATAAACTTACATATTGTTACAAGAGACGAGAAAAAAAATATTCTTTTTTTTGGGCCCCCCTATATCTATAAAATTTGGTTTCTATCTAAAGTGATTAACCAATCAAAGCACCCCTGGAGGTGTTTCATGAAATCTGCGAATTTTCTTTTTATCAGAAGTGGTTCGCCAATAAGAGGATGGCATTCCCTACTGCATACTAGATGGCGACAGATAATTCAGTTCAGTACTTTGATTGGTTTATTAATTTTGAATACATTGAAGTCGCAAATTTTACCCTTTTACCCCTATGGAGTCCTATTTGAAAATATATGGATGTGTGCGAAATTATATATGAAACACTTTGTAGTTAGCTATAAGATCCTTAATCAAATATGGAAGAACATTAAATTTTATAAACAATCTTACAATTATTCAGATTTTTTAATTCTATAAAAATAATCATTTTAGTTTTGGTAAATTGTAAATTTCGACGACCGATAACGTCAGCATTTAATAATTATGTGACAACTTTTAATATATAGCTATAAAGAGTAAATATATCTTCAAAAATATATCAATTTCGTAATAACTAAACTAATTTTAAAAACAATAAGCTCAACAAATATCTTGCATTTTTAAGTCTGGGTTATTTTCCTCCACAATACCAATTTTGTCTTGGTGTTGCCTGCGAATGTGCCTCATTTGGTGCGCCTTGCGTTTACATTTTTGAGGACAAAAAGGGCATTGAAATTGAGGCTCCATGCCACACTCATACGTCAAATGTCTTTGAAGAGAATCTTTTCTAATGTAAATCCTCCCACATTTTGGACAAGCGAATTGTCCTTTAATTCTATTGGATTTCTTTTTCGGCTTATAAGGGGCATCCAGAGCTAAGGATAACCAAGCAGGCTTATACATTTCAGAGCCTTCGTCATCTTCTTTTATTTCTATTTTAACTGGCAGTTCCGTTGCTGATCCTAAAATTAGGTTTATATTAGCATACATTAAAAAAAAAGGTATATTATTAGTAAGTTCTCTAATAAGTCTACCAAGACAACTAAAATCTAATAAAAAAGTCGTGAGTAAAAATAATGTTTATTTTAAGTTCTCTTGAAATCCTTCACGTTAACATTTTCCAGTTTGTGTTTATTTGCTAAATGGTCTCTGATATGATATGCGTATTTCGTCGAGAATTCACAGTATTTACAAAAGAAATTTCTAGGTTTTCCACAAGTGTATTTAGAATGGTTAAATAATGAAGCCTGGTGTTTAAAAGCTCTTCCACAGGTTTTGCAGAAATGCAATGCTAAAAAAATGTTTATTTTTATTATACGCCAGTAATTTGGAAATATTTAAAATTAAAAAAAGGTAAACTATAAACCAAAGATGAAAAAAACAACTCATTACTTTTACTTTATTTTTTGTACTTCACTAAATTGCGTTGTTACATTATGTTTGATCAATAAATGATTTTGCATGTGGTGTCGATATTTTGAGGAAAATCCACAAAATTGACAACGATATTCCGCAGATTTTCCACACGTATATTTAACGTGATTATACAGAGACGCTTTATGTTTGAACTTTTTGCCACACTTTGAACACTGATGGTCGTATCCTGAAATTAAACAAAATGTCAATATCATTGCGGTACTATGATACCTACCTTCATATTAGTTTAAGAAATTTCAGGTAAATTTATTGCCAACAATTCACCTCCATCAACGAGATACATATCTAACTTTTTATTGATGACGTTAAACTAAGGATTTTAAAAAAATTAGTAAAACGTTTTGCGTTTTGTTACATCACAAAATATCCTCTTTAAAATGTTACAATATATTTTAAAGGGAAAAAGTAGTATTTTGAGGTGGGGGAAATAATAAAACCATGGAATAATTTGAACGAAATGATATTAATCTTGATCTTTCATGATAAATCCTTTACAATCGATTTGGTTATAGGCAAAAGGTAAAAGATAAAATATAAATAAATTTATGTTATTTATCGATTAAATTAAAACATGTTTTTTGGTGACATGCTTCTTAATTTCATTGCGCCTATGATTTTTATAGTCACAATACATGCAGGCAAACTTGGGTGCTTTCCCACATTCAAGATTAATATGTCTAGCCAAATTTTTCCTTGCATTGTAAACTTTTCCGCATTTTGGACAAACGTAACCGTTGGATGTCCAGCAGTGTGCGTAAGGTAAGTTAACTTTGGAAGGTTTTTTAATTTTTGGTTCAGTATCATTGTCCGTGTTTTCTTGCTCATTGCTGCTGTTGGTTTCCTGATCTTTATCATTTTCCTGCAATAATAAGGATTCTTGTGTTAACAGAGGTATGGCGTCTTCTTCTTCTGGGTATATAACTTGTATAGTCCAACCACCTTCATCTAAGGCTTCGTGAAGCTCCAAGTTTTCCAGATTATTTGTTAAAAGCGTTGAATCCATTATTTCTACAAATTTTATTTTTTATTTTTAGTAATGAGGCTACTAAAATATCGCGTTATTTTATTAGTAACATTTAATTCCAAAACCGAATTTAAGTGTTCAAAAAAATAATAAGACAATTGTTATAATTTTAATCTTTATTGGTTTGTAGTATTGTAGTGTAGTATAACAAAAATAAAATATTATCAACCAAATTTAATTTAGGAAAAAAATATAATACAGTATTTTATCTTAAGATGATTTTTTTAATATGGCACAATGTAGGAAAGTTAAATGCGGTCTTAAACAAAAAAAGATTGCTGAATAGTTCCACATTCTTCTTATAATTATCTGTATTTTTAAAATTATATTAATTATAATTTAAGCTAAAATGGCACATACATTGGACTACATTGAACAAAGCAGACTAGAAAAAATGTACAACATTAAAATAACTATTCTAACACACAAAAATAACACCAGTCAACATATTTTAAACATACTACTTTCATCCAAATCTAAAATAAATCGTCTGAAATTAGTGTTGACTAGTTAAACTGTGTTTTCAGACTAATAAGGAGGTTTGAGCAAGATAAGAAAATGTTGAAAATTTTTTCGGTTAAAGTGGTCCATTAATAAGACATTTACAAAGTTTCAGTAAAATTGGTCAGATTAGTTTACCATATAGAACATCTATTGGATTACTATATACATAGAACATGTATTGGATTAATGTATATCTTGTAACGTAACAATAAGAATTCAATGAAAAATGTTTCTCCTATGCACTTGTTGCATAAAAGTTTGTGTTAATATTCACAAGACAGTTTTGCAATAATAAACGATAATCTTAGACTGCAACCAAATTAATCAATCCGCCATCTTAACGAAATCTATTGTAAACTTACTTTGAATTCTTATTCAACCTTTTTTTTTGATAGTTGCCGTAACATTTAAAATTAAAATTTGGTGCTTTAAAATATAAAAAGACTTTTAAAATCATATTTTATATAAACTTGCATCAATTTCCTTATCGTTGATCTTTTCGAGTTATAGAATTCATCATTTTAATCATACAAAATACCCCATAGAGACCTATACATAAATAGAAAATGTATAGGAAATTACCTATAGGCACACCATAACTTTTACATTTTCCCTATTGAGACCGATAGCAAATAACTCAATGAAGGATATATAGGGATATCCCTATAGAGCAACCATAAAACATTTGACAAAATTTTATTAAAACCTATGGGGTCCTATGGGGGAAAAACTAATTTCTACATTTATGTGTATTTTCCCCATTGAAACCAATAGCAAATAAATCAAGGGTGGATATTCCTATAGAACAACCATAAATCCCAACTATGGGTCCTATACATACCGATACAACCTATAGAAACACCATACATTCCGGTACAAATATCTATCGGTTTGAACAGGGTCTCTATGGGGTATTTTAAGCAGGGAACAAATGTCAAATCAAAAAAGCGTCAAATTCCTCAGTAACGTGTAAACAAGGTAATAAAACATTTTGTAACTATGAAATTTATTGGTTCTATATTATAATAATAATGAATTATATTGTAATTGCAATTTATTTTTACTAGTACTGACGCATTTTTTTAAGTTGGAATATCACCCATGTATCTTCCCGCAATGTACTCGAACCTCCTTAAACCATATTTTTATAAATATGTACATATACATAGACTAAAGACTAAGGGTCTCTATTATAGACTAGTAAATTCAAAAAGGTAACACAATTTTAATTAAAATCTAATGTATAATATTTTAAGAAATCCACAAACAAAAACATAGTACATACACGAAGAAAAAAACGGTAGCTATTGATATGCATACTTACTATAGTTCCTGGCAGTAACAAAAGTAACTATTGCCTGTGTCAAACTAAGTTTTTATTAAAAATTGTATGATTTCAAATGGTATATTGACTGTTCTGCGTATCAATGGTTACAGTTGTCTTTTCTATGTGTACTTTTTCTAATAAAAAAGAGTGTAAAATCTCTTTGGTAAAGGCGGTAAAACTTATATACAAAAAACTAATTAACCTACAAATAAATTAAGGATTTAAAACTTTGGATCCAACTTTGGTTTGGTAAAAATACTGATGTCCTTTTATATGAGCAGAGAGGACATAGGCTCTTCTAGCTCTGTAAGGACAATGAGGACACTGGTGTTCAGGCTCGACTCCACACTCCTGTCTAATGTGACGACTTAATGTTTTTTTGTGATGGTATATTTTGTCACACTTTGGGCACTTGAAAATATACATGAATGGACCTTCAGAACTTGGCTTTCTTTTTCCACGTTTGCCTAAAATTTGTGTTTATTAGTAACAGAAATAAAGAAATATAAAATACTTACAAAAACAACAATTTAAACAAACAAAACTCAAAAACTACATACAAAAACAATACCATAAAATAAAGAATTGTTATTTATTAACATATATCTATATAACAATAAATTGTAGAAAAATATATCTACTGAATATACATAAAATATATGGACTAGATTAAATAGGTACCCAACAAAAGTTTAATATATAAATAATCACAATAACTTAATCATACTTTTGACTAGTTAAAAAGTTAACATGAATCGACTTTAAGTGACTTAAAAGTCTATGTTTATGTGTAAAGAGTTGACCACAATAACGACATTTATTAGATGGTGGTTGTCCACATTCAAGGCGAAGATGTCTTGATAATGTGTACTTGGCTTTATACATTTTTGGACATTTTGGACAAGCATACAACAAAGTACCATCTGACGCTAACTTCACTTTCTTAAAATAATTAAGTTGACCTCTCCTTAGGCTGTCGAAAAACTTAAGTTGTTCTAAAAAGACAATTTATTAATGGGATTTTATTTTTTTTTGTTTTCTTTTCATGATTCTGTAAGTTTAATGGATGAATTAGATATGATATGGATTTTAAATAAAATATACTGAAGGCTTTTTAATTATTTATTTCTACACAAGAATTTCAACCCGTATACGATATAATAATTTATATTTATTACAAGTGATAAAATACCAAAACATTGTGTAAAAACATGACGCAAACTTAGAACTAAACAATTATTTTTTTGAATAATTATGACAATTAAACTTAATTTATATAGCTTATATAATTTATATAGCTTAAAGGCTATAACTCAAAAAATAAATAAAATAAATAAATAATTCTTATAAAAATGGTAAAATAATTTGAACTTTCTTGAAATAAATTAATACTAATATAAGTACATGTTATTTGGTATGTTTCGTTTACTTAAAGCAAAAAATAATGGCATCACAAAAAAGTGCATATACTTTGAAAATATAATGGCACACAAAATTGACTTAAAAAGACTAGAATATTGTGTTTAATAGGACTAGAAAAAAGCACATATATTATATATAAATGATATATATAATCTAATTAAGTTTTCTAAAACAGTTCTAAAAAACTGTGGATTAGTTTTAGTTCTTAATTTTCTTAAAGAACCATGTTAATAAGGTTACATATAGTGTCATTGTCTACATAAGGTGTAGCGCCCCAAAGAGGCACCGAATTACCCGCATAGTTCCGGTTTTGGCTAACCAAGTCTTTTGGGTAGATGGGGCTGATTACCTTTCTCTCACCGCTGTCGTTGTAACTGCTGCTTATATAACAGGGGACGGCAGCGTGTATAAAGTGCTTACACACCACATGGCTGCCCGGCACTGAAGAGGTCGCAAAACCGAAACAGGCTGTCTGACGGTGCCTGTTTTTGTGTCACGCTAAGAGCAAAAGCATGTTGACGAGGTATAAGGTCAGTTCTCATAAGTTTACATGTTATAAAAATAAAATTTTAATATAGGGTTTTCTATAATTAACTATATTTACGGAACACCCTATTTTTTTAAAAGTCTTTCTACTATAAATTATTTGGTAAATATTTAGACTAGATTAAATTGCAAAGAAACCTAAAATCAAAACACACATAATATTTTGGTTTACATTTTGGTCTTAAACCGGAATGTACCATTATAGGTTATTGTTAAATATTTTCTACCAATACTTTATCAATAAAATAAATAAATAGTTATCTAAAACTTATCATCTTCATGACTAGTGGTGACATTTTCAATTTTGATGTTAAAAATCGGAGGTTTTTTGACATGCCTTTGTCTCAACTTCTGAATAAATATATCGTGAGTATGTCTCATGTGCTTTAGAAGGATATATCCGTGTTTGAATTTTTTGGAGCATATTTGGCAGCTAAATGAAGGGCTTTGTCCGCAATCAAATCTCAAATGACGACCGAGGGTTTTCTTCTGCAGATATGTCTTTTTGCATCTGGAACATCCATATCTTACACCATGCGTGTATACCCTTAGGTTGGTGTATTCTTCGAAGGATGAGGCGTAGAGAATAACATCTGAAACATTTTTATTTATTAGTATTTTTGATTATTTTTTGGGCGTTATATTTAAAACGTACAATACTCACTCAAAAACAGAAAATTATCTACGAAAAAAAAAATGTCTAAGTCTAAAGCAATGGCAAGACAACAACAAACACAACAAATAATTTTTAGGGTAGTCCGATATTTAAAAATATCATGGTAGATTGGTCACTTTACCTAAAACATACAAAAGTTAGATTTAATAATATAAAGGCAGGGCCACACCAAACTGGCTTATGCCGGCGGCACTAGCGGCCTTGCCGCGGCTTCTTGAAGGGAATGTTTGAAGACGAAGACATTCTATTATGGTATTTGACCTTAAAAATCATTTCTGACAATAATGACAATAAAAATATTAAAAGAAAACAATAGAGGTAAATTTTAAATAAATCAAGAAGATATAATTATGGGTAAGTGTCTGGCAATGGTAGAAATTTTACTTAAATTTTCCTTCGGAAAAAACACGTGTCAGGTTGGTGTGCTCCCATCTTAAAACAGAGCTTTTTCTTACCAAGTGTACATTTTCTTGTTTCTTTTGTGTGGTTAAAATGAAATGTTAATTTTATATTCCTTATTTATTCATTAAGTGCGTTTTATATTTTTGGAACCAATAGTACATTGATATTACATTTTTATTAATTTTTTACAGGTATCTTTGATTATAAATATAATGTTTTAAGAGTTGAATAAATAATGATCCTACAACTATATTGACATTTATATATGCAATAATAATTTAAACTATTAATGCTCTAATATTGTTTTAATGAGGAAATAGGAAGCAATTACCTAACATAAAGTTTTTAGCTGCATTTAAACTGAACATAGGGTTTTTTTATAATTGAATTTAGAATTAAATGGCTATGACCACAAAGTGTTTAATTGGCTTTAAATAAATTTAAAAAAATCAATTGGATCATAATTCAACTCAAAACTACCATCGACAAAAAACTGAACATTATACTTTAAAGCAAGACAAGAAGATTTGGCTAATGATCCTCCGATGATTTTAATATGGTTTAACTCCAGGAGTACAAAATTTTACCTTAAACCCATTAAATAATTTGTAACTAAAGCCTTTTAAAATTCTCGTCGCCCTATATTTCAGCAAAATCTAAACCCTAATAATAAAGTCCACTATATTATCGAACCAATGAAAATATTGAAAAATGGATATATAAATAACTTAGTTATTATAATTATCAAAATACGGGAAAGCCATGGTTTTTGACTCGACAGTAGTCGAAGTATTTGGTGTTTGTATTGCACTTGTAGGTTGACTTTGTTCCTCCAGATTCTGCGTGCCACTAAAACTACTAGGAGTCGAAACGGGAGGTGGCAAGTTCGCAAAGGCAGCACTGGCAACATTGTTTAGGGCTGGTACTTGCCCACCAATGCCACTGATGAAAGACATGTCTCCTAACTTGGAAAACAAATCAAATGGATTGTGTATAACTTGTACTTGTCGAGGAATGTTGGATAAAAGTGGAAAACTTGGTTTGTCTTTAGATAAAAGTGAAACCTCGCTGGATAACTTTGGCATTAGGTTTGGAAATCTGGGTTGTTTATGACTGGGCGCTAGTAATGTTTTCATTTCTTCCATTGCCGGTCCTGTCAAAACTAGATCGCTGTGCACTGTCACGTGCCTTTGAAGATGCTGCTTCTTTTTAAATCCCTTCTTGCATACAGGGCAAAAGTATGAAGGAGGTCTTCCACATTCTTCACGTTTATGATTACATAAATTGGTCTTGTGTTTATACGATCGACCGCATTGATCGCAAGTAAATCTTTGATTCATTAGATGAGACCACTCTAAAAAAATATAAATTTAGTTTTTTGATTTGTTGCTAGTTGTGGAAAAAATGTGTACGCACCTATGAAGAAAAATATAATGCAAAAGAAATTGTTAATAGGTAACCATTAAGAAATATTAGTCACTAGCAAAGATAAGAAATAAAAAAACCGTGTACCTATAATATTTATTAGATTTGATTACACAAAACTAAAATTTTTATTTGGAAAATCATTTCGTACTTTCTTTTACTTTTATGGTCACAAATTAAACATTAAACTATAACAAATCTATGATATAATATTAATATAATATTTTATTCAACGCCCATTTCATTTCTTAACTTGAACCGGTAGGCGAAATTGCATTTTTCAAGTTAAAATTGATAAAAAGGTTTAAACTGTTTGACAAGTATAAGATGGCAGGTAAAATATAAAATAAAATTGGCTTTAAATTCATCAAACGAGAAACTTAAAGTCGCGTGTTTCCCATTCGTTACTTCATCCGGAATATCCTATTTCTCCCACAATATCATGACCACGTCGTTTAAATTTCAGAAGACGTCTTGACGTCCTGTCAAAACAACATCACTGTGCACTTTCAAGTGTCTTTGAAGTTGCTGCTTCTTTTTAAAACCTTTCTCGCATACAGGACAAAAGTATGAATGAGGTCTTCCACATTCTTCACGTTTATGATTAGATAAATTGGTCTTGTGTTTATACGACCTACCGCACTGATCGCAAGTAAATCTTTGATTCCATTCTAAAAAAAATATTTGTTGTTTGTTAAGAATTTTATAAATAATTTTTACGCCCTTATAAAGAAAATTATAATGCAAAAGAAATTGTCAATAACCATTGAGCATTATTAGACAGTAGCAAAAGACAACAAATATTGTAACTATTATATTTATTAGATTTGATTACACCAAACCGAAATTAAATTTATAAATGTTTGCTTTTAATGTGGAAGGTCATTTCATACTTTCTTTTACTTTTATGGCCACAAATTGAACATTGGAACTGCGGTTCTATGCCACATTCGAACTTCAAATGACGTCTTAGAATATGTTTATGTTTGTAGTTTTTCAAACACTTCATGCATTGATATCTCTTTTCAGACACATTTCCTTGAAGCATTTGTCTTATAAATGGTTCAGCATCATCTAGAAAAAAAATTAATGTTTATAAATATAAATACCTCTATGCAAATGTTGCATATATTAATAAATGTAATGTTAATAAAAAATAATAATTTGTATTAACCGTAATAAAAATGGTATGGATTGTTTATATTTTATATTTATTTCAAAATGCATATAAACACATTCATAAAATATATTTTATAAAGGGTTTTAAAAATATCTAAAATTAACGATATTTTAACGATAGCAGATGGCCACTTTTCCTCTTAAACCGAAATTCCATGAATTTTACAGACTTTCCAGACTTTTCCAGACAAACAATATTAAAGATTTGAAAATTAAACTCATTACAACGACAGTTCATACTTACAAAAATTCAATTTATCAAAAAGTGGCCCAGCATAGGTAACCAATTTCAGTCTTTTGAGTTACAATATCAGTCTTAAAAAATTAATATTATAAAAATTAAAATCTATGAATTCTGAGCAAACAACTTATTTATCTAATCACTCTTCTTAACTTTTCTAAAAAGTTTTCTTTGTATTTTTTAGTTTGCATACACACAACCGTGTATATTACTCATGTGCCTAGAAAGATGGTACTTTCTCCTAAACTTGGAAAAACAAACGGTGCAAATGAACTTCGGTTCGATATCAATGCACTCCTCTTTCTGGTGTCTGTAGAGATGTCGCTTATTTTTGTAGCTTTTGGAGCACTTGGGGCAGGAAAATCTGTCTCCTGAGTCTTTGGTCATGTCCAGAGGTTCATTTTTTGTTGATGCTGAGAGGTTCAACAAGTGTCTATAGTTTTCCATTAGCACGGTAGAAAATACATTTTCATTTCTATTTGTTAGGCCTTCGTTCGGGTTTTTAGCATCTGAAATTAAAATGATTTGTTTATTTGTTTGTAAAATGTGAGGTTGTTGAAACTTAAAAAACATGCTTCAAAACAAAACTCCGAATTATACCTACCACCGATTGGTGTTACAAAGTAAATTTGGATAAAGTATAGTAAAAATAAACAATATATTTTTTATTTCATTTATTATGACATCTTTTTAAATGTTTGGATAAAGAAAATTGATAATTAGTTTGGTAGGTACAGTAATTGCATTGAATAAATTTAGGTTTTCCACATTCATATTTTGAATGTCTAAGAAGACTGCATTTTGATCTGTAGAATTTTCCGCACGTTTCACACTTAAAATAACCTAAAAACACAAATTTACATTTAAAATCTATTATTTCTACAAAAATAACATTTAAGGGAATTAAAGCAGGTCGATAGAATAAATAATTTTGGATATACTTTTAAAAACATATATTTGTATCATTTTTTGTGCCGTGTTTTGATATTATATGTCGTCTATAGCTAGACTTAACATGAAAAGCTCTATTACAAATATTACATATAAACTGTGGTGGTTGGCCGCATTCGTATCTGAGATGTGACATCAAGTTACCTTTGGACTTGTAGCGACGTTCACATTTGTTGCACTTAAAGTCCCTACCTAAAATTAAAAATTATATGTATATTGAGAGATACCAGAAATATTTTTTTAAAACAGTCCTTATGAGTGTGGATATTTGACGTCGATATAAAATAAAATCAGCTTGCAAAATATTATAGTTTTGGAGATTAAGATAAACTACTAATATAAGAAATTACGTAAATTAAAAGTGTAAAATAACTTTTAAAGGTTTATTTATAAATTAATTATTATTTATAGATATTTATACTTATTATTATCTTAAAATGATTTAAATCAAATATTTTTATAGAGCGCCATCTATGAAACAATAATTGAATCTGTGTGTCACCGTCAAATTTTTATATTTTATAAACACAGATTATAAATCGAAATGTATTTCTTGAAAATGGACAGTTTTTTACAGTGAAAGTAAAGAAAATGTTTTATGAGCACTTTACAGTGGAGTCCGTGCCCGAATTTAAGTTATATTTTACTGCCGGCGAAATTAAATTAAATTAAAAGGTCAGTACAATGTTCATCTTTTCAAAGATTGGCGTTGAGAAACTATTTAATATTTTTGTATTTTTCTATTGAGATAATAAAATAATTTTTACATTTAGTATTATTTTACAAGAAAGGCACTTTATTTTAACGATTGTATGTTATTTGACAACTGTCAACTAACTTAAAACTAACTTCAGCCCGTGACTAAAAACCTGTTGCTAACTTCAGCCCGTGATTAAAAGGTCACTTAGTGTCATGGAAACATGTACGATAATGGTCGTTTTAAAGGTGGGAGTAGAAAACATTATTTTTCTATGGTATTTCTTGTAACCTAGAAAAAGTATAGTCTGAAACATATTTGGAATTGCAAATTTCGCTCTCGTGAAACCGTCAAACCCGCCTTCGGCTCGTGTTACAAACTTTTCACTAGAGCGGAATATGCCGTATTCCAAACTTGTTACAGAATATACTATTATATACAATTGCCATTCTATGGCATCCTATTTTATATGCTTCAATATTTTGGAAATTCTGCAGCTTTGTGTTTTCCTGAGTATAACCTTGTTGATAGTTTCAATTCGACAGTTAAAATTTGCAAAGCTTTACTGTATAATAAAGTGGTTTTGCCCACTGGTTTTTGATTTGTTTTCCTGTACAATATGATTTAGGGTTGCTGTTTATTTTTTAATTTTTAAAACAATTTTATATGGGCCCTTAAATCCGATTTGTGTTTATATTTTTTTACCTCAATAAATGCACGGGAATGTCGGGTCAATTCAACATTCGTATTTTATGTGGGAATTATAAGATGTCGTCTTCGTTTATAATGTCGACAACACTACTAATTTACAAATTGTATAAACTTAACCTTTATTATTTATAATTTTGTACAATTTATAATAATTATTAAGGATTTTCCACATCTGTTTTACCATGCATATTTTTCATATGTTTTCGTAAATTTGATTGATGTCTTGTTTTTTTACCGCAATACAGACATTGAAATTGGGGTTCCACTCCGCATTCGTAATTTAAATGTGCATTTAGATGATTTTTTCTTTTATACCGTTTAGGACATTGATGACACCAAAAAGTCCGGTCATCATCTGAAATCGTAAAAAGTTAATCATTATTATTTCATATACCTATGTAATAAAATCCCCATAGGGTAGTAAAAGCAAACAAACATATAAGAAACAATTTATTTGTGGTATTTACAAACATATTTTAAATGAAATGACAATGTTGTATTTATTTTGAATTTTTTACGGACGGGTAAATCAAAACATGGCGGAAGATGAAACACTCTGAGGTGAACGGAAACGGAGAGCTAGATAATTTATAACAATTAAGTTTCGGGTAAATAAAAACTGCACAAATTCGAACAAAATAAACTGCGCACCACTCAATGTGTCGCGACCAAAAAGTTCGTCCTTTTTCAAAACGACATAACTTTTTTGTTTCTTAAACGATTTTATTTTGGTCTGTAATGTATACAAGCCCCATCCTCTGGCAATTCATTCTATAGACATAAAGCTCACGATTCTTCAAGTAAATTTCCTACAGGGTGTTATGTAAAACGGTGAAAAATTTTAATAATTTCATCCAAGCCCCGTTTGTAACAAAATAATTTTTTTCCTGTTTTTAATTTATAATAATGAAGTATTATGTCTTACCTTGTAGTATATTTCAAATTTTTCGAATTGGAATCTTAGCAACGAAAATATGATTTTTTTTTCAAAAGAGTACATTTTAGGCTTTTTTGTAAGCAATACACTCAGTCTTTTTAGGAACAAGAAGATAATATGGTGAAATAATGTTCCTTAAATAATTATGAACAAGCGACAAGCAACAAACTTTCATTATTTTCAGAGGGCCTAAGCAAAGACCACTTTTTCAAAATAACATTTTGGTAAAAATTTAAAAAAACTAAACCTTAACCGATATTTACGTTCGTGACATGTTTTATTAATAATTTTGACCTCCTAATTGTTATTCAGTTATCAAATTTAGGTTTCAGATAAAACCAAAATCACCAAGAATTGGGATTTGAAAATAATTCCCGGCTGTTAAATGTTTCAATAAAATACGATTGCTGCCAATCATTGGTGTTGGTGGACGACAATGCTCGTCCGCACAGCGCCAATATTGTAAATGAGTATTTAAAGGACCACCATATTGAGAGAATAAATTGGCCACCTTTGTCTCCGGATATAAATCCTATTGAGCATATGTGGAGCAGAATGAAACTAAAGATGAAAGAGAGGGAAGGACGCATGATAAATTTGGATGAATTGGTAAATGCTATTCAGAAATAATGGGATACCCCAGGAATTTATATAGAACTTGGTCGAGGCCCACGAAGGTTAACGAATTATTATGGGTTAGGGGAGGGCCAACGAAATATTGAAAGTTATTTTTGTTATTGTTTGTTAAATTTTGTCGCATAAAATTTTCCAAAATGAACAAACATTTTTTTATTTAATTTTATTACCAATTAGGTAGGTACTTATTACTAATAAGTTATTAGTGATAAGTTATCACTAGTGCGCAATGTAAATGAAACTTATGAAACATTATCCTAACCACTCAAACAAATTGCAGTAATTTCGCCCAAAAAATTAATCCCCAAATGGCATTTTAATTTTAAATATGCAAGAAACACGCCAGCAATCGGATTTTATTAAGACATTTAACAGCCGGGAATTGTTTTCGAATTTTGATTCTTGGTGATTTTGGTTTTATCTGAAACTTAAATTTGACAACTGAATCACAATCAGGAGGTCAAAATTATAAAGAAAACATTTTACGAACGTAAATATCGGTTCAGGTTTAGTTTTCGCAAATTTTCACCAAAATGTCATTTTGAAAAAGTGGTCTTTGCTTAGGCCCCTCTGAAAATAATGGAAGTTTATTGCTTGTCGCTTGTTCAGAATTATTCAAGGAACAATCTTTCACCATTTTATCTTCTTTTTCTAAGAAAGACTGAGTGTATTGACTACCAAAAACCCTTAAATGTACTCTTTTGAAAAAAAAATCATATTTTATTTGCTAAGATTCCAATTCGAAAAATTTGAAAACTTTTTCAAGGTAAGACATAATACTTCATTATTTCAAAGTAAAAACGAGAAAAAATATTTATTTTTTCAAACGGGGCTTGGATGAAGTTATAGAAATTTTTCACCGTTTTACATATCACCCTGTAGGAAATTTGCATGAAGAACCGTGACCTTCATATCTATAGCATGAATTGCCAGAGGATGGGGCTAGTAGACATTACAGACCAAAATAAAATCGTTTAAGAAACAAAAAAGTAATGTTGTTTTAAAAAAGGACGAACTTTTTGGTCGCGACACATTGAGTGGTGCGCAGTTTAGATAATTGATGATTATTTTTACTTTAGAATCAAATGTAACAATCGAAGGAGCAAGTTGATGAAGGGGTCAAGTAACAATCTTATTAATAAAGGAGTAAAAATATTATAATTGTAATTAAATATTAAAAAACTTTGTTTTGCAATTACAATACTTTTTGTTTAAAGGTTTCATGTTATATTTAAGTTGAAAAAGAACAAGCAATATTGTAATTGTAAATAACAATAAATTTGGTATAAGATTTTTTTGTCCTATTATTAAAAATGATACTCAACCCCTTTATCTATTTGCCCCTTGGATTCTTTAAGGAAATCCAAACAATATAATGAGTTTCAATTAAATAAAAACAAAACAAGAATTTAATTAAATTGTCCAAAAGAAGTTTCAGTTTAGGCATGTGGACACTTAAATTGTGGATCCAAGGATTTTAAGTGGAAATAAAGATGTCCTCTCCGTTTATAATGTCGACAACACTGTTTAATATCTACCTTAAGGACAAATTTAAATATTTAACAAAACTTCTTTATTCACAACTAACATAATATAAAACTTTATTATTTATAATTTTCTGCAACAATTATTCAGAATTTCTCACACCTGCTTTGAAATGCATAACTTAACATGTCTTCGTAAATTTGATTTTCGTTTAAATTTTCGACCGCATTTAGAGCAAGGATAACTTGGATCTTTTCCGCATTCATATCTCAAATGAAAGGTTAAGTGTCCTTTTCGTTTATATTTTCTCCCACATAGATGACAATCAAAAGTACGGGAAAAATCTAAAATTAATATGAATAAAAAACTAAATAATTATTGCAAAGCAGTAAATATATGTATTGAACACTGCACATAAAAATACTTTTATCAAAACGAAACTTAATGAAGATTTTTTACTTGACTTGACCGGTCATCAATGAAATATTGTTTCCAACCTCAACCTTTTTTAGTAAAATTATAAACTATTTGATTGAATTAAAAGTACCCAATAGTTTTAATTACTAATTGTTTTATTAAATTTAAAAATATTTATAGTATTTTATAAATTCTTTGGTTTTCGTTTGCAAGATTTTTTCGAGTGTAAATTTAGACTTGATTGATGAGTAAATTTTTTGTCGCAATACAAACATTGGAATTGTGGTTCCACTCCGCATTCGTAATTTAAATGTGCCACAAGATGTTTTTTTCTTTTATACCGCTTTGGACACTGATGACACCAAAAACTTCGTTCATCACCTGAAATCGTTAAAAATTATTCATTATCATTTGATTACTTTAAAAATCACCAGATGGTAATAAAAGTAAACAAACATAATTTGTTTGTCGTATTTACAAGATTATTTTAGGTTTAGAGTTTTTATGAGAATTGGAGTCAATCAGTAAATCAGTACGAGAGTTGAGAATAAAGTTTTTGTATTTTGTTCTCCTTTATAAGATGACCTAGGTTTGCTGTATATTTTGTAAGTTGCAATACAATTTCATATGGGCCTTTAAATACATTTAAACAAAAAGGCAAATTTAAAATAATTTTATTATAAAAAATTGTTTATTTACATATTATTAATATTTATAATTTTGTACAATTTATAATAACGGATTTTCCACATCTGTTTGACTATGCAAATTTCTTAAATGTTTCCGTAAATTTGATTTTTGTTTAAACATTCGACCGCATTCAGAACAAGGATAACTTGGATCTTTTCCGCATTCATATTTCAGATGAGCGTTTAAATGTCCTTTACGTTTGTATTTCCTCCCACATTGATGACAATTAAAAATACGGGAAAAATCTAAAATTATTATAAATAAAGAACTGACTAGTTATTATCTATTATTATATTAATAAGAAAAAGAACTAAATGGGAAAGGTTTGTTTATGTTTTCGTTTTGAGGTTAAGTTAATTATTATTATAATATATTAAATCATGCTTTCGTATCCTTGGTTTTTGTTTGCAATTTTTTAGTGTAGATTCAAGCTTGATTGATGACTGCATTTTCTGTCGCAATAAAACATTGAAATTGTGATTTCACCCCGCATTCGTAATTTAAATGTTCCATGAAGTGTTGTTTTCTTTTATAGCGTTTAAGACACTAATGACACCAAAAAGTCAATCCATCGTCTAAAAACCTTAATTCTTATCATTTTATATATGAAGGGGTAGAAGTGCATTTTAGCATGAAAATAAGTTAAGTGCAAAATTTGATTTGATTAATGCAAACAACAATATTGAAACAATTATCCAGATTTTTGTATATAATAAATCCACTCCTCTTTTTTGCACTTGTACCCTTTTGTTTCTTACCCCTTCATATGTTATAAAACCACCACATGGTAGTAAAAGTAAAAAAAATTATATAAACAATGTTTCCTGCACTCACAGGAGTATTTTAAATAGAATGACAATGTTTTATTTCTTTTGATTTTTTTTTCTCAGTTTGGACCCTGAAATTCTGTATCCAATCCGCATATTTTAAATGCTTATAGACGTCGTTCTTACATCGTTTGGAACATTTATGGCATGAAAATTTCCTTATTTCTTCTGCAGATGACAGCTCAGTTTTGGCCATCATCTGGGAACAATTGAAGGAATTCAAGAACTGAAGTAATACAAGTAATATATTTTTCTACTCATATTACGGAATAGGACCGTTTTAAAACGTAACCGGTACTGTACGACTTTCAGGACATAAACGGTACTAAGGGGTCTGAGAGACACCTGTCTTTTAAAATTATAATTTATATTATTTTTTTATCTGAGACTTTGGGGATACTAGGAACTATATATAAAGTTAGAATATCACCAAAAATAATACCTAAATAAAAGAAAAATTTAAACAAATAGGTTTTAATCAAAACATGTACAAAAAATGCAGTAGTGCAAACTTTGTGATTAAACTATAAAAAATATTAAACCAAAAAAAAATATCTTTATTTCGAAGAATATATATACCTTAAAAAATAACATAAACAAAAAAAATTCAAATATATCTTTTTTTAACAGCAAAAATAACTGCTTCAAACTATAGCTGATTTTTACAATTATTTTTTCCATAGTAAATTTTTTGTTTTTTTTTTCAAATTCTTAAAAAATTTCAAATTCTTTACTATCTGACCCTATAAAATTATTTTCTATAGACTCTTCACAGACAAGTCCTAAATCGCTGCTGTGATTATCTTCAACGACATCACTATAATGGTTATGTAGTATACTACAGTCATCTGTATCACTTATATCGCTGTAGATTTCATAAAACCACTATATTACAGTTTCCTTGAAGCCCTTCCTATCACTTTGGACAATTTTAGAAGGCCCTTGTTGCGAATCCATAACGAATTAATTGTTTTATAAAAATTACGTAAACGGTACACAGTGGTCTACTCAGGGCCGAGCCGTGCCGGGGGTGCAAGGGGTGCATGGCACCCGGGCGGCACTAACACAGGGCGGCAAAATATCATCAAAAAATTGTATCATATTATCAAGAATAAAAAAGCCACCTTGCAATATGCAAAAAACTTTCTAAAAATCACTTGCGTTTTATTGATGTCGGCGTTTCAAGGAATCATCGTTTTTATTCTACACATAAAAACAATGCCAAAATTGTGCTGTCAGGCGGCAATGATAAAAAAGACATAACTGAACGCGCAATAGCCACAAAAAATGATGATGACAATTTTCTTAAAGCCCGGTTTATAGATTGCCGCCCGCCCGCTTCGCTTTCCGTCCGTCCGCTTCGAGTTCGTCAAGTTTCATGTTTTACGGAAGCGGGCTTACGGGAAACCAATCAAATCGCGCGCTGTGTACCACCTGATATTGTTTGCAAGCTGAACTGTTAAGTTAAAGCATAATTTCTTCCGATTTGACGGCTGCGTATTTCAGCAATTTTTAGTTTTTCTATAGAATATATTAACGTGAGGCAAGTAGGATGCAAACATAGTAGTTTCTTTTGTCTTTTAATGCGTTTAAGTTAAAAACTAGTTAAAGGCATCTTTCCGAATTTATTTGTAGCTTTAAAAATATTTTTGACCATGCCAGTTAGGTACTGTTGCCCATGGAGAGCGGTCATTTTTGAAATTAAAACTAATTAAGACCTATTTAAGATCCAATATGAGTCAATTCAGGCTTTCAAATTTAGCAATTATAAGTATTGAAGAAGATATTTCTAACAACTTGGATGTAGGCGACTTAGAGAATTTGCTATTAAAAAAGCGAGAAAAGTAGATTTTAGTTTAGTTTAATTATTTTTGTTTTTTTTTCCTGAATGTATTTTTATTTTATTCTTTTATGTATTTGTTAATAAATACTTTGTTATTTTACTATAAAATTTGTTATATGTTTATTGAGAATGATACCTAATTTTTTACATTAATGGGGGCGGCAAATTTAATTCTTGCACCCGGGCGGCAGATACCCTAGGCTCGGCCCTGGGTCTACTAGACACCTCAACACTTTGACTTGTAATAATTTGTCCGTTTGACAATCCAACTTGTTCAAAGTCTAAGAGCATATTGATACACTGTTCAAAATTTCATGACCATTTTAACACCAAATTAACACCAAACATGGTCTATATCAATACAAACCAAAATGGTGTTATATATGGTCCGTTGGCCGGTGTAAATTCAAATACTAAAATGGTGTTAATTTAACTTTCACACAGTATTAAAATAAATTTTATTTGGTGTAAATTTAACTCCTTTTCAGTGTTAAATATTATGTGTTTGTGGACAAATTAAATCATACTACACAGAAAAAAGAAAAAAAAAGGAAACAGGAAGTTCCTTGACGCATTACTAGTATATTACCAGTGGTATTATTCCAGAAAATGGAACCTTCAACTCGCTAGAGATAATGTTTTTAGTGCGTTGCACTAACTTAAAATACTTTAAGTATTGACAGCTGTTTCCACCTATTTAAGGTCTCTTTAGTATCGAACTGTTCGATTCGAACAACTTGTAGTGTCACACCAAAGCAAAGGATTACCTCAGTTTATATATTCTTCATGTAAGTCAACAGACGCGAGATTTAAGAACATCACGTGATCCACACCGCCTTTGCCGCGATCGGTACACATTTTCAACCATAATTTATGGTGTTAAATTAACACCACTTCGTGTTGGATTATGACACCATTTTAAGATTACTTTTTACACCACAGATATTTTAAACAGTGTAACTGCTCAACTTAAAAGTATTGGAAGCGACAGATTTTTAAAACAAAAGGTGAGGGTGGGACAGGGCTTTGTTCGTTGATGAGTGTCTCCCAGACACCACAGTACCGGTTACGGGTTAATATCACTTTTTAATGTGAAATTACATATATTCCTATGGCATTTTGAAAACGTAGAAAAAGTATATTCTAAAACACATTTGGAATCGCTTATTCCCCTCTCGTAAAACCGTCAAACTCGACTTCGGCTCGTGTGAGAAACTTTTCACTTCAGCGGAATATGCAGTATTACAAACTTGTTACAGAATATAATATAATTTTTGTAATTTACAGTTATTTTTTAGTTTTATATTAGAGGTCTAGCCTTTTAATTGACTATTTAAATGTTTTCTTATTTATATGTTGATCTACTATTAAATAGTTTTAATTTAATGTGGATAAATAAATATAATATATTATAATATTTTCAATGCTTTATTTTCAGCTTTTACAATATACCTTTACATGTGATATTAATGTTCTCTTTCTTTTAAACTTTTTCTTGCAGTTTGGGCAAGGAAATTGTGGCTCCTTGCCACAATCGAATTTTACATGTTCCCATAGGTGTCTTTTCTCCTTATACCGTTTAGTACATTTATTACATGGATATTTTCTTAATTTATCTAAAATATTGATAGTATTAATTTGGTAATGGTTAAAACTTTTATATTATTAGTTATTTTTTCCTTTCCCCTTTAATTACTAAAAATAAACTAGTTGTTTTCTAAGGTAAGTCATGCTTTTTTGCTTGAATTGTATGCACGCCACTGCAAGCTCTATCGCCTTTTTAGTAAAGTTATAAAATATTTAATTAAATTAAAAGTACCAAATAGTTTTTATTATTATGTTTTATTAAATTAAATATTATATTAGGTTTGCAATATTTTATAAAGTGGGGATTTAGCCTTGATTGATAAGTGATTTTTTTGTTTTTATTCCACTCCGAATTCATAATTTAAATGTGATGTTGTTTTATTTTATACTGTTTAGGACACTGATGACAGCAAAAATCTGAAATCGTTAACCGTTATCATTTTATATATGTTATAAAACCTCCACAGGGTAATAATACAAGTTAACAAACATACAAAGAAACAATGTTTGTTGCATTTTCAAGGATATTTTAAATGGAATGATTTTTTTCCACAGTTTGGACAATGTGGATCCAATTCGCATTTGTATTTTAAATGTGCTAATAGACATCGTTCTTCTATCTTTTAGAATATTTATGGCATCGAAATTTTCTGCAGATGCTCAGTTTTAGCCATCATCTGGGAAGAATTGATAAAATTAACTGAAATAAAGCCAATTAATTAAAGTAATATATTTATTCTTGTTATTTACATTTATATTTTAATTTTACCGTTTGACACAGCCGAGTCTATTAATGTTTCCTTATTTATCTATATATTAAATATTTTTAGCATAATGTGGTTAAATAAATATATAATATATTATAATATTGTCAATACTTTATATTACGGTGCACCTTTAAATGTGATATCAAGTTTCCATTTCTTTTAAATTTTTTTTTGCAGTTTGGGCACTGAAATTGGGGCTCCTTGCCACAATCGTATTTTAAATGTTCCCATAGGTGTCTTTTCTCCTTATACCGTTTAGTACATTTATTACATGGATATTTTCTTGATTCATCTAAAATTTTAATAATATTAATTTAGTTAGTATGTTTAGAACATTCATAATTACTATATACTTTTCCCTTTAATTACTGAATATAAACAAGTTAAATTATTTACATGTTTATTTTGAGTACCTACAATAATTTCTTATATGGAATAATAATGTGGAATTTCGAGTGAATTTTTTTTTACATTTTGTACACTGAAATTGTGGGTCTTTTCCACATTCGTAGTTTAAATGTGCGTTAAGGTGCTGTTTTCTTTTGTAGCGCCGACAACATTGAAGACACTCAAAAGATCTCTTATCTAAAAAATTTTAGACTTTAGAGAAAAAATACGACGTTCCTCATTTACATAATATAATTGTGAGTATCAAAAAACATTTCATACATAAAAATTTATCTTTACATCTTTGGAAATGTACATTTTACAGCGTATGCCCCAAAAATTGTTTTCACTGTTAAGTTGAACTTATGATTAGAAGACCCCTCAGAAAGGTGACATGTTAGAGCACCATCTAAAATTATATTATTTATTTAAAATTATTTTCCGCACCTTTGTTTTTGGTCATTTTTTTTTATCAATAGATAAGCATATTTTCTTGTAAACTTTTTTGTAGTTCGGGCATTCAAATTGTAGTTTTTTACCATAATACAATTTGTAATGACGCGGAAGATATTTATTATAGTGCATGTTAAAAATGAGAAAAACTATAGTTATTTAATTTATTAACTCCTTATATTTTTTATATTAATTAACAAGATTATTTTTAATATTTTGGTTCAGTGGAATCAGACTTGATCACATTAACAAACCCACAAATTTTGCAAACAAAATGGTGAGCAAAATGGTGCTTTTTTATTCTTTTCATTTGGACCATTCTGCGACATCTCATACATTGGGTCTTGTTATTATTATTCTTTTTTTTTATAACTTCATTTTCCAGAGAAGAATCGCGCTCGATCACATTTCTAAACCCACAATTTGCACACAAAAAATCGTACTTTCTTTTTCCTTTTAGCTTTTTGACTGTTGTGTGACATCTCATACATTGAGTTGGCTGGTAACTATTAATCTTTTTTTTCATAACTTCTTTTTCTAAAACAAAATTCCTTTTGTAAAACTGACCTTAAATACATAAATTAAAAGGTTTATTAGTAATATTTTATAAAATAAATATCATTTTCAAGATTAACATTTATTTTTGAGTTTGCATGCTTTTTTTATATGAGTTGATGAACTAGACTTTTGTGTAAATTTTCTTCCACAGTTTGGACATTGAAATTTGGGTTCTTTTCCACATTCGTATTTTAAATGTGCTGTTAGAGCACCATCTAAAATTGTTTTTGGTCAATTTTATTTTTATAAATTGATAAGCATATTTTCTTGTAAACTTTTTTGCAGTTCGGGCATTCAAATTGTAGTTTTTTCCATAATAGAATTTGTAACGACGAAGGATATTTATTAGAGTGCATGTTAAAAATGAGAAAAACTATAGTTATTTAATATATTAACTCCTTATATTTTTTATATTAATTAACAAGATTATTTTTAATATTTTGGTTCAGTGGAATCAGACTTGATCACATTAACAAACCCACAAATTTTGCAAACAAAATGGTGAGCAAAATGGTGCTTTTTTATTCTTTTCATTTGGACCATTCTGCGACATCTCATACATTGGGTCTTGTTATTATTATTCTTTTTTTTTATAACTTCATTTTCCAAAGAAGAATCGCGCTCGATCACATTTCTAAACCCACAATTTGCACACAAAAAATCGTACTTTCTTTTTCCTTTTAGCTTTTTGACTGTTGTGTGACATCTCATACATTGAGTTGGCTGGTAACTATTAATCTTTTTTTTCATAACTTCTTTTCCTAAAACAAAATTCCTTTTGTAAAACTGACCTTAAATACATAAATTAAAAGGTTTATTAGTAATATTTTATAAAATAAATATTATTTTCAAGATTAAAATTTATTATATTTGTGTTTGCATGCTTTTTTTACATGAGTTGATAAACTAGACTTTTGTGTAAATTTTCTTCCACAGTTTGGACATTGAAATTTGGGTTCTTTTCCACATTCGTATTTTAAATGTGCTGTTAGGTTTCTCTTTTGTTTATAACATCTGCCACATTGGTGACATTCATTCGGGCACCCTAAAATGGTATTTATTTTATTTTGATAATAAAAAATAAAAAATGTTAATTTTAATAGAAAATGTACATTTAAAAGAGATTTGTGAAATTTATAAAAAGTATTGATAAATTAAATAAACAAATATTGTCGGATATCAGATCTGGGCTGTATCTATCCAAGATAACCTTTTTGAGGTGGTGATATTCGCGAATGGAATGGCATAAATAAATATTTGTCAAATGAAAATAATAATAAACAATAATAATAATAATAATGGACATACGAAAAAAATTGCTTAGGCAAATTTCTAGTTTTTTAAAATGGAATGAAAAAAAATATTGTTTTAATGCTTATTTATTGCATTTACAAAAAAGAACCAACAGTTATTTAAAAATATTTTAATAAATATATTTATAAATTAACAATTAATATATTAATATATTAATATATTAATATATTAATATATTAATATATTAATATATTAATATATTAATATATTAATATATTAATATATTAATATATTAATATATTAATATATTTATATTTATATATTAATATTAAATGTTTTGTCAAATGAGCTTTTTGTTTAAATTTCCCACCACAGATTGAACATTGAAATTTTGGTGTGCCTTAAGGTGGTTTTTCTTTTATAGCGACGAAAACATTGCTGGCAAACAAAATATATTATATCATCTAAAATTTTTATGAATTAGTTAAACAAATGCGCTAAGAAATCGTCGTCAATCCAAGTATACTGTCACAAATCATTTCCAAAAAGATTTTTACAATATAGCTAGTCGTAAGTCTTTTTTTAAATAAAAATCATTAGAATATTAAAGCTTTGTGTAAAACATAATGATTTATGTTTTAAGCCTTTTAAAAGGGCTTACATTTTTTTATCTACTCCTACATTGAAGAGCTGTGACTTTATGTCGTTTTAGTCACGAGCTGAAGTTAGCTTTATTATAAGTTGCGAAATAGTAAGGTTAACTTGTCAAATGTCAAATATTTATAAATTAAAATTGGCTTTAAATTCTTATTTCTGTTCGTCGTAGATAAAGTATAGTATGCAACTCTATTTATAAACTTCTCTAGACATTCGTTTCCATTAAACACTCGCTTGCAAGTTTCGCTCGTGCCTAATAAAACTCGTAACTAAAATGGCGTTTATAAAACTTGTTACATAATATACTGTTTAAGGTCCAAGTATTTTTTAAAATTACGTAAGGCATTTTTGGTCGCCCCTCCCCCTTGGTGAGATTTGGTAGCCCAACGTAAAAAAATTATTTTTTTTTTAACAAATTTGAATTATAACACAAATATTTTTTAATAAAATCAAGATAAAATGAGATTTGGTGAGATTTTGCTGGACCCCTCCCCCTTCATTTTTTCTCACGTAATTAATGGATGTCCCCTAACCTATAATTTCCATTACATACATGTACTTTAAATATTTTTTGGTAATAATAAACTTGCCACTTCTTAATTAGTGACGGGTCAAAGATTAGGTTTTGGTTTTGGCCAGTTTCGGACAAAAATGCTCGTTTCGGCTAAAGTTTCGGTTTTTATGTAATATTTAAACTTAATAGTATTTTTAGGCCGGAGCACAATATTTTGTTTGTATGTGTTTTCAATGATCTAAAATTATAAAAGTGTTAGAAGTCATATTTCCTGTCGAATTTTACATTTTAATGCGATTTTTTTATTATAAATTGAAGATTTAATAAGAAATAACAAGGGGTTGAATATTTTTACATAATACATATATATATAGAGGCCTAAAACTATTTAACATTTTATTGGGGATAGTAAATTATTAGGCACGAAAATTTTCGTTAC